GAATAAACAACTGTAACACCCGGTTCCATAATATTTTACAAAATTCCTAAATTACCCTTCATTAGTGATGAGTAATCTAATTAACCCTAAGCAAACCCTAAACCGAGCTCTCCTAGTCACATGCGCAGACATATATATATATATATACACACACACACACACATACAACATGGAGCAGCAACCAGGCAAGCGATCTCGATTACTTCTCCACATAAAACACCACCGCCATCACTCCTGTTCGGCCCGCCATTCCCCAGATGTCGTTTCCCCTTCGACCTAACACAGCTAGCCAGCCGCACCACCTTTAGCTCCGTCGACCACCGTAGACATCAAGGTTCGGGGACCTAGAGCAACAACGAAGCTGTAGTTCGAGATGATAGGAAAGCGATGGAGCTTAATTGATTTGGCTGCCGCAATGGCGGGAACTTAGACCAGAGGTAAGCGAATTATCCCTCATTCACACTTTACTTGGATGGAGAAGGATTTGGCAGCTCGCGGTGTGACACGCTAAAACACAACACCAAACTGCGACCAAGTGTAATCGCAGTCCGGAAATGCAGTAACAGGCAAGCTCTAATTGTCAACCCGGGGTCTAGATCTACTGCCTACTTCGTGTATATCTGTTATCTAGCCAACTAAGTTGAGTGATTGTGATTTTAACTAAAAGCAGTAAGAAAGTAGGAAATGGTTCGGTTTTCTGAAGCAAAGGAAGAGTCACTCGGGAATGAGTCCCCCTAGCTCTTTAGTTAGGTCTCAGTTGTAATCACCCTGGGTTGATTTACTGTTGATTAAACTGCGGAAGATCCGACAGTAGTTTGGAATCTCTTAAACTGACCAAGCCCTCTCAGTCCAACTACCCGGTAGACGACTAGTCTTCACTGGAATAGAAAGCTGAGGCTATGAACACCGAACTCCACTACTGGAATTGGATTCCAGTACAAGACAGTAGATTGACTAACTCTCGTATAACCAATCTACCACTACCGAATGCTGAAGCTCTAACAACCTAATCAGATTCTATTTATCTCAGGTTGCAGCAGAAATCAAGAAAAGATGATCAGACTTCAATTGATTCAATGAATCATGCATCATTCGATTAAAACCAAACAGTATAACAATCCCAAGTCATTACAATCAAGATCCCTAACACATGGAGCTAGGGTTCTTCATACCCAAGTGAGAGAAAGTTCTACTCTACAGAGAGAGAGAGGGAAACAGAATACAAAGCAGTCATACTCTTAACAATGGGAAGAATCTGCTCTGGGATGTCAATCTTCACTCCTGGGGATGCAATCTGGGCTTCAATGGTGAGAAATCCACTCCAAATAGCTCCTAGGGTTTGTTCTTTGCACTTTCTCTCTTTAAAACTCTGTTTTTGCTCCAAAAAGTCGACTCCCTCTACTTTGACTCAAATCTACCTAAAAACCCCGATTCTGGGTGAATTACGGGCTGAATTATGGTCGTAATTATGGTCTGCCCGTAATTCACCCAAAACGCGCGTTTCACTAAACTCTGAGGAAGGTAGTTACGGTCGTAATTACCCAATTACTGCCAGTATTTAAGTAATTACGACCGTAAATGAGTCCACTCTAGTCCGTAATTAGCTCTGCGACAGGAATTTTCAGGGATTTAGGCTCGGCATTGCATTTACGGGCATGACAGAAGCAATTACGCCTGTAATTGGGCAGGGGCTGCCCGTAATTCTTCCTCCGCTCCTGTTTAATGCTTCGTTTCTCCCTCCTCCGGACTCCGAATTAGTCGCCGTTTGAACCCAGACGCTCGTAGTCTCGTCCTTTTTCTTTTCATAACAAACTTTAATGATTATTTGTCCATAATATGAGGTATAAGTCCATTATTCCTCAGGTCATGCTCGTGTTTCTTCTCCCGAATTGCCAAATGATCTCCGATTGACTTGAAACTTGCGCCTATGCTTCAATTTACATGCTAGGACCTGAAATGTGACAAAGGAACACAACCTAGCATAAAATAGTCCAAGAAAGCAAAAACTCAAGCCAAAATGATCAAGAAACGAGGGTGCAAACATGTGCAAATACGATGTTATCACGATGAGTCCTTAACTTGTCAACATGGTTTATTTAGTTCTTGGATGTGAATGGTGGCAGGAGGCAAAAGCATAAGGAATTTCATCAAGTAATTAATACGTACAGGTTGCATGCTTATGATAAGTGGGTCAGAAGAGTGTTAGGGGAATGTTTAGTTCAAGTATAAAGATGCAATTGTAGTGTTATATAAGTTAATGGGTGACGATTAGTAATGGCGGTCAAGGAAATTAATAATGGAAGATTGGTGGTTTTTCCTTAACTAACTATAGGACATATGGATGAGTCTGATGAGGTCAAGACGATGGCTTTTATGGAGGATCACGAGCTAGCCAATCAGATGAATGAATGAGGACTCTCAGTTACGTACAAGTAAGGTGCGTGGTTAAAGGGGGCTAGAGTAGTTTTCGTTATCAGTTTGTGCATTTACGTTTATGTTACGCATTTTAGTTCACGCCTTATGTTTTAGTTATTCCTTATACGCTTTCATGTTTAGCTAAGCCATTTACGTTCAGTCATTACTTTAAGTGTGTATAGCATCATGAAGCATCAGCAAACTAAGTTTCAAGTTATTCAAGTCTAAGCTGACTTGTGCCAGTTAATAAGTTTGGTCTTCCCATTGTGTGGGAGATCACCAAACTTTTAAAGTATGCAAGTGAGTATGAGTTAATTACATCTCCTCATGAATGAGAGATTAAGATAACCAAGTTTAAGAACTATCAAGTTAATAGGTACTAATAAGTAAGAACACGTTTAATCCTCGCTTAGCTAGCTACGCACGCGGTACAAGATGCCCATTGTGTGGGTGTTTTTGCCTTAGATAGGCGCAGGATCCCCATTGTGTGTATGTTTTGCCTCAGATAGGCGCAGGATCCTCATCGTGTGGGTGTTTTTCCTCAGATAGGCACAGTTTACACGTTTATGCTCCCCATTGTGAGGGTAGTCATGTTAAGATATGTTATGACAATTTTTACCAGACAGTTGCGCTTGTTAAGTGGAGAATGGGGCCCATTTTAAGATAAAATACACAGGACACTTATAAAGTAAACAAGAATCATAAGTTCAAGGAATCCTAATAATATACCCAATAATGTACTTAAAGCATTGCATGTTCATGGTTGTATGTTTATGTATGATAACGGAATTAGGACTAGGATTGACCCCATCGCCCGCATTCAGGAATTGTAGAAGCTCCAGAGCATGCTAGAAGTTCGCAGTTCGTGGCAAGGATCAATGGCCCTAGATGACTCCAGTACGATGTTTCTAATCTCGTGTATTAGTAGGGCTCGAGACTTGATGCTCATTTATTAAAGATGTTTATGATTTCCTTTTATGCTAATTTCAAGGAATTGTTATTTGAATTTCAACGTATTTATTATGGATATTTAAATAAAGTTTCGCGCTAAGTTTCCCATTCTGTTTGGTATTTATTTTGGTTAACGATTTAACGAGGGCATTTTGGTAATAGTAGTACCCGGCCGGGTTAGGGTGTTACAACAACTGCATGTTTGTTTGTATGTGTTTGTGTTTCGTCTAGACACATGGGGCCAAAAAAGAAGAGTTTTAGAATACTAGATGACCATTTTTTTGCCTAACTTTTGCAGGATGAGTATTGAATTGGTTTTTCATCATGGGGGGATGATGGATACAGCTACTGAGGTACGAAAATATGTTGGCGGCAATGTCGACCGAGTTCAGTTGCTTGTTGATCGCATATCATATTTTGAGCTGGTGAGTACATTGATTGAGGATTGGAGTACTCATCGGTGAAGAGGGTGTGGTTAATGGCCTACTTGTGAATGCAGAGCAAGGAGAGGTGTTCTTGTTTTTTGAAGCAACTAAGTTCATTCATGATATGGGAGACAACTGTTGGCATAAAGGAGGTTGAAGATGAGGAGGGTGATAACTCTGCCGTACCCGAGTTCGTCTAGTTAGATGAAGAGGAGGCTCAAACGTTGGATGAGGAATACCAAGAAATTCGGCCCCATTATCGTTGCATGCTACAGCGGTCTAGGCTTGGGGAGACTAAACCTGGAGAAGAAGTTGATCAGTTGTTTGTAGACCCCGATGAGGTGAACAAGCCTGTTCAACCTAGTGTGAATGTCGATGAAGAGGCCGCCAAGGGACAAGAAGAGGAGGTTTAGCATAGTGGTGGTATGGGTGATGATGAAGCTCAAGGGTCTGAAGCAACAGTCTATCGGTGGTTTGAGAACTCAGATCATATTCGTGGCAACATTGGCGAGGAAGATGAAGTCTCTATGATCGACAAGTGTCGTTTTTATGATCCCAATTGCGATCATAAGACATTGTCGATCACTACCATATGAGGTTTGTTAGTCCTCGGCAGTTTAAAGATGCCATTACAAGACATTCCATCGATATTGGTGCTGATATACGATGGTTACGTAGTAGTGAGAAGAAAAAAGAAGTTGTTTGTGCCCGAAAGTGTGGCTGGAGGGTGTATGCTTATTGGTATGGGAAGAGAGAGACCTTTATGGTCCAGGGTGTTGGTACACCACATGATTGCCCGCGTTCATTTCGCATCCGTGGTGCTACTACCAAGTGGATAAAACTGAATATTTGGAGCGGTTTAGGGTGGAACAAGATTGGGATGTGAATTTGATGGCAGCTAAGATAAAGCAGAAGCACAACCTGGAGGTGACACGAAAAGCTTGTTACTGAGCTCGCATAGAAGCAAGACGAATTATCCAAGACACGTTGCAAGAAGATTTTCATCGGATGCGTACATATGTAGGGCATCTTCAAAGAGTGGACCCAGATGAAACATTTTGTCTAGAGTTTGATTTGGATCCTAGATCCGAGAAGGTATACTTCAAACGATTTTGTGTGGGCTTTTCAAGCTTGGCTCGAGGGTTCTTGGAGGGGTGTAGGCCTTTCTTCTGCCTTGATGGCTGCTTTTTGAAAGGTGAAGTTAAAGGCATGCTACTTAGTGCAGTTGGAAAGGATGGAAACAATCACATGTACCCGATAGCATGGGTATTTGTCGAGTCTGAGAACGGGAGCTCGTGGACATGGTTTATTCAAACATTGCAAGAAAAGCGGCACCTTGTAGATGGCAATGGTTGGGCTATTGTTTCCGACCAACAAACGGTAAGCTTACTACTTAAATTTGAGTATTGTTTACAATTCGGTTGATTTTCTTTACATATTATCTTGCTTTTAATTTGACTATCTTGTTGATTTTCTACCTGTTCATAGGGTTTGCTCGATGCCATCCATGAGTGCTTGCCGCATGCAGAGCATAGGACGTGTGCTTGCCACGTACATGCACACTTTAAAGCAAAGCACAAATTTGATATGGCTGCCATGTTGTATTGGGAAGCAGTCTACTCCACCAACGAGGCTGATTGGAAAGCTGCCACTGCCAAGATGAAGGAACTTGGAGGGACTGTGTATGAGGACTTTATGGCCATGGAACCAGAGAGGTTCTGTCGAGTATTCATGAAGACTCATTCAAAATGTGGATCTATGGAGAGCAATGTGTGCGAGTCGTTTGATAATTGGATCATGAAGTTCCGAGTTCTTAGGATGTTTGATGCTAGAGGGAATCAGGGTGGCTGTGATGACTCGTTTGGTGAGCAACAAAAGGAAGATGGGTCACTGTAGAGGGACATTTAGTCCAGTTGTGAAGAGTAAGCTTGAAAAGCATAAGGATGAAGCTAGGCTGTGTACTAGTCGGCCATCTTCAGCTCACAAACATGAGGTGCACATACATGGGAAAGGGTATGTTGTTGATTTGCAGACTGCTACCTGCACATGTGGATATTGGGGACTTTATGGCATTCCTTGCTGCCACGCTGCTTCAGCCATTCGTTCTATGATATTTCATCCTGAGGCGTATGTGCATCGGTACTTTGAAATGGATTATGTGAAAAATTCATACAAGTATCCAATTCCAGCTTCAGAAGGACCTCAAGCTTGGCTACCAGTGGAAGGGTACAAGATTTACCCTCCAAAGATAAGGAAACTGCCTGGCCCGCCCAAAGAGAAATCGAAGGAAGGAGGCTGTCGAGTTGCTCACGAAGAGTGCTAAACATGGTGCTGGTGTGGTTGCTACAAGGCATCACAATATAGTCCATTGCACGAGGTGTGGGGGTGAAGGACATAACAAGAGGAGTTGCACAAATCCACCGGCACAACAACCAGCTCCCCCGGCTCGTAAAAGGAAGAAACGAGGGGAAAATAAGGGAGGAGGTGCTGCCCCACAGAATGCAGCGTCTGCAGCTGACAATTGGGTAAGTCAATTGTTACTATGCTTTTGAAATTTCATTTGTTCATAGAATAGTTAGATCTGAATTTAATTGACTTTCAATAGAAAGTTAGAAGAAGGCCTCATTGTTCTAGATGTGGGGCAACTAATCAAAACTCGTGGACTTGTCCGTTGAGGGTTGGAGTTCAGGTAAGATTCTGGTATGGTCTTTATAAAATGCAGATTGTGAATGAATGCAACTTATTATGTCTTCACTTTTTTGTTACAGATTGAAAGCATGGGCACTTGTAGCAGGCAACAAATGGAACGGGAAGTGAGGAGGGCAGCACAAGGAATCAACGTTTACATTGATCCTACTTCTGGAAACATGTATTCTCGGGTTAGCTGCTCTCTTTTAAAACTCGATGTGGCCTGAACATTGCTTTCTTAGGTAAAAATAATGCTAAATGTTGCCTGATATTGCAGATGAGTACTAGAGGCCCACAACAAGGAGGTAGGAGGGAACCAAACGAACCAGATCAACCACCCATGAACAGTACTCAACCTCCATCGACTCAACCCGAGACACAGTAAACAAGCAAGGGTGGCTATGATGAACCAATAAAATGACATCTCCCTTCTTTTGTATTTTGAACATGTAATAGGCATGTGTTAGGGAATGTCTAGACTCGCGTATGGAATGGTTTATTCTGTTTTCACGTTATGGAACATGGTTTATGCTGATTTTGAACATGGTTTATTCTGAATTTCGACTCTGGGGATGGTTTCACCTGATAAATCCCGAAACACACTAAAACACGAGAAACCTAGCATAAAACCACCCTTTTAGGAGCGAAATTGCAACAAATGACTTAGGAACATGGGGGCAAAACATGTACAATTAGGCCCGAATCAATATATATTTGCGGAGTGGCCGAGTTTATGTTTTCCTTAAGTTCTTCGTTGTATTCGTGTGACTAAACCCTAATAAGATTGACTCGAGAGGCTCCCTCTCCTTGGACTAGTTCTTTGGGCTTTTTAGGGTTCTTCTGTGATTTGCTGCTGCCTTCATAACTTCTTGGGCAGTTGCATTTCAGGGTATTTCTTCCAGCTCTTTTCTCGTCTCTCTTGGGTTTTCATGGTTGGAGTTTTTTGGTTTGCTATTTATTTTAGTGGGTTTATCATGAGTTCGGTGGAAGGGAAGCATGATGGGATTCTATGAGGCTCACAGTACGGAATTTCTCACTTTGGGAACTTCACATCCGACTCTATGTTCAAGGTCTTCGGCTTAGTGGGGTCTTAGATGGCTATATGCCCCATACCGATGATACAGCCACAGACAAGGAGAAGGCGGATTGGGAGGCTAGCAATGCTCATGTGAGGTTATGGATTTTCCCTTCGGTCGATTCGGACATTACTTTGAGTCTTTGGGGCTTCTACACTGCCCATGATATGTGGCAGCATTTGCAGTGCATTCACTCTCAAACTAATGCCACCCGCAAGTTTGAGCTTGAGACGACTGATAACACCAAAATCAGTGTTATTTACCCTCCCTCTTAGGGTATTTTTTGTGCCAATTCATGTGCTTAATCGTTTAAACATTGTCAAATACATTCCTATTTCGTTCCTACTTGATTTTGATGTGATTATAGGGGTTATTAGTCAATATGTTCAAATTAGGTACAAAACAAGATAAAAAGTGTAGAAAAAGGGCAAGGATCAAGGATTGTCGCATAAAAGCAAAAGATCACGGGCGAGATCTCCAGTCGTTAAGACTCGCTGAAGATCGCGGCCCAGAAGCCAAAGATCGCGATTGCGATTTTGGAGCCCTAGGGCGTGAACTTTGCGATGAAGGAGCCATGGATAAGCAGAGACTTTCCCTTGTCGAATAAAGGCCAATGTGCAAACTGCCCGCGAGGAAGATCATGGCTGCGACTCAAGGATCGCGACCGCGAAGTCAGGCCATGATCTCTCCCGTCTTTAAGGCCTCGACGACAATGTTAATAGATCACGACCCAGTGACCAAAGATCAAGACCGCGATATCCTTGCCTCAGCCCGCGAACTTCCCGAATCCAAGTTGCCTATAAATAGAAGACCCCCTTCCCCCTTTTCAAGGGAGCTGATTTTGGGTGAAATTTATGGTTCTAGAGAGAGAAGAGAGAGAAGCTGAAGGGAGAAGGAGTAGCTAGGAGCAAGGAGACATCTTCTAACCCCAAATCTTCTTCTATTTCTACCATGTATCTTTTTCCCTCCTTTATGGAGTAGTCCTCTAAGGTACTATGAGTTCTAAACCTCAAACTCTAGTTTTAGGGTTTATTATGTATGTATGTATGTATGGATATTTTAGGGTTTGAATGAATGAATGTGTTTGTCTAGTAGATTTTTAATGTCACTATTTCCTAAACGATTACGATTGGTAAGTCACCCTAATCTTCCCTCTTAGCCTACTTTATTATACCACGCTAGGTAAGGGGTTCTAGGGTTAGACGGGTATGCGTCAGCTGGAGAGTTTAGGTTAGATATGTAAATAGGGGCCTGTAGTGGTTGAGGCCATCGAACCCCTGCTATAGGTAGCCTTCCTAGATGGAACCCAAGATGAAACCTCGGTGTGGATGGTGGATAGTGTCCATTTAAATGAGCCATAAGCTTAAAGCCTCAGATACGATAGCCTAGATCGAGGTGACTAAAACATGGGTTTAGGGGAGGAGTGTGGATAACGACGAAGGCCCATGAAAAAGAGCTCACTCACCACATCAATGAACCTAAGTATATATACATGCATAGTATCCCTGAGTAGGGGGGGATTAGTTCCCCGAAGTACCTGTTTTTAGCTTTGATCAACCTCTAGACTAGTGTTTCATCATATCATCCACTCAAAACCTCAAAAACCAATTACCTAATTAACGACAAGGTGGGAAGTAGGCTCGGGTACCAGGACCCGAGTAGAATACGACCTTGATTACCACTATAAGACAATGGGGTCATAGGTTAAACTTGCCTTAGGATGGGATAGTTATTGGTACATGCAAACCACTGACAACATGCACGGATTCAAGTGATCAACGACTTTGGCTCGTCTAGATCAGGGCGACAAATATTTTCGTGCTTACTTTCAGATCCAGGCTATGTTTCCTTTGTGGAAGGAACAAGATCTTCATTTGCGACTCAAGTATGAGAGCATCGGTGACTCTCTCCTCCATCACAATGTTTCTTCCATTGAGGATGCTCGGGGAACTCCTTCGTGAAGAAACTCGGCTCCAAAGCCAAGCTCAGCTAGATGTTCACTCGGCTGACTCTCGGAATGCCTTTGTTGTGCTTGGGAACCATCCTCAGTTCCAGCGTACTCACAGTGATGTGGTGATTTGTCAATTTGGTAAGGAGCCAGGTCATATCAAGTTTCATTGCAAGAAACACAATGTTTATAATTACTGCAAAGAATTGGGCCATCTGATTAGGGATTGGCCTATCTTAGCACGTCGGGGGCATGGTCGTGCCGCTAGCAGTAGGTCTGGTGGGTCTCGCTATATTCCTGATCCAACACATGCATAATTATCGATCTGGTTCAGCCCACTTTGGCGACTTCTATGACTCGTGCCGACATTCGGCAGTTCGTCCACGATGCTATCAACGAGTCTCTTCCTAGCACCTTGACCTTAGTGTTCTCCATGGGTAGGCCATCTAGTTCTGATTCTTCTTGGCATATTGACTCTACTGCTTTCAATCACATGAAAAGTTCTCGTCTGTTATTTAAACATATTCGTCTGGGTCCTAGTGTTGCTTTATATGTGGCTGATGGGTCTCGTATGTCTGTTCAAGGGATCATGGATTGACTCTCAAGGATACTTTATATGTTCTCTGATTAGTTCCGAATCTTATTTATGTGGGTCAACTTGTTGAGGATGGATGTCATATTGCATTTGATGCCTCCGACTGTGTTGTGCAAGACATGACAACAGGGAAGGCGATAGGAAGGGGGAGTAAGCAATGTCGTGTATTTGAGCTTGTCGCCCTCACCCGTGGTGCTGTGGGGGATGTGTCACGTACGCATGATGTTCATGGTGGTGTAGCTGATGAGGGAGGTGGTCATACTAGCTGGATGGTGAAGGAGGAGGTTCATCGTGAGCACCCATGGCTTGCAAATGATTCTTTTTGTTCTAGTACAACTTCTATGTCTGTGTCCTATACTTATTTACCCCGTTGTTTGACTTATTCAATTGGTTTGTCAGATTGGAATTTGTGGCATCGTTGTTTAAGCCTCCCACATTCTTCCATAGTTTTGTCGATGCTTAAGAATAAATGGCCTACGAGTCATGTTGTTTTGGATCCTGGAGATGTTTGTAAGCAGTGTATACACGCAAAGATTTCTCAACATTCTTTTTTGTCTAGTACTACTGAATATTCTACTCCTTTCGATCTTGTTCACATGGACCTTTGGGGTCCATCATCATTCACGTCTCGGGTTAGGTTCAGGTTGTTTGCCTTGTTCATTGATCATGTCACACAGTATCAACAACTATCCCATCCTAAGCCAAGTTTAACCTTGGATGGCATTGCCATAGTTGTAATCAAGGTCGTATTCTACTCGGGTCCTGGTACCCTAGCCTAATTCCCACCTTATTGTTAATTGGGTAATCGGTTATTGAGGTTAAGAGTAGAGCATATGAGGAAACACTGGTCTAGAGGTTGATCAAAGTTAAAAGCAGGTACTTCAAGGAACTAATCCTCCCCCTAGCCTAGGGATACTATGCACGTATAGATACTTAGGGTTATCAAATGTGGTGAGTGAGCTCTTTTTCGTTGGTGACTCGTTCTAACTACAACATCCCAATCAACGGCCAAGTATAACCGCCGACCGGGTGTAGCATAGGGCAAGCAAGCAATAAGAATATATCGTACCACAGGAATCTAGGCTTACCCTACTTCAGGTGTCGGGTTCGTTATATAGCCAATCCTAGGATGGTGATTAATAAAACTAAGCTAACTAACCTAGCTAACCACTAACCTAGCTATTTACAAGGTTGGTGCTCACTTGTGCTCGATCGTCCTAGGACCGTTCTTTGGATCAATGTTGGGTATCCTTCTAGCTCAATCAAATCAAATACACTACCGTTTGAAGATGGACTCCCTCGGAAATGATCTAGAACGGCGAATCGATGGATGGGTAGTGCTCTATTCAACATAGGGTTTCGTAAAATGCTAGGAGACCGGTCGAATAAAATCCCTCGGGGACTACATGGATAATATACGATAGGAGTGACCTGAAGACGCCTAGGAAGGGGCTCTAAGGGGATTATCCCACTCCTAGGTCAAAAGCTCAAAGCATGAAAATGGAAACCACACTCATGCCATTCATTAAAACATCCATCAATTAAGTAAAATCATCAATCAAACATGGAATGTGTCACATACATCAATACAAACCCCAAATCTAGACCTAGGGTTCTTAAACCTAAGAGAAGAGGGTGAGTTTCTAGAGAGAGAGAGAGAGAGAGAGAGGAGAGATTACAAAGAAACCTCAAGATCTTCTTCTTCTTCAAGGCTTGATTCCTTGCTTCCAAGCTTGATCAATGCCTTCAATTAAGGTCCAAGATCAATCTCCCACTCTCTAGAACTCCCCTTTGGTGTTTTGGGCCGAAACACTAGAGAAAGAAAGTGTTCATTCTCCAAAAACCAGCCCTCCTTTCTCTCTCCCTGTTGCTGTCTTCATATTTGCCTGAAAGTGACAGTTCACGGCCGCGTTGGCCAGTTCACGGCCGCGTTGGCCAGTTCACGGCCGTGAACACCTAAACGCATCTGTCAACTCAGTGTCGTCTCCCAAATGCACTGCTTCACTCTCCTAGGTTCACAGTTTGTGCTCCAAGTTCACGGTCCTAGAGTCCGTGAACTCCCTTGGCATTAGTAACTTATGGAACCTCGCTGGACGCCTCGATGTTCACTTTTTTTTTACGTTTTTTCACTTTTTGGCACTTTTCGACCTCCAATCGACCCGAAACTCGTCCTCGACCATCCCGCATGTGCTAGGACATGAAATGTATCAAAACAAGCACAAACTGGCGTGAAATATGTTGAGGGACGATGAAATGAAAAGCCAAACTATCAAGATATGAGGGGTAAAATGTGTACAATTGGACCCGAATTACTCCCCCACACTTGAACGTTTGTTTGTCCCCAAGCAAACCAAGTACAAAACAAGGTAAGTTTACAACTTCTTTTTCAACAAAGTTTTTGGGGCATTGGATAGGGCACAAAACGAATGAATCAAAATGGTTATTTGACGCCGACCTATGTACAAAAATAAAATAATCATGGCAACAACCACAAACGACATTAAACTGTATTAAGATTGTGCAAAAGAAGAGTTCTCACATTATTCATCAACCAAAACACAACATGCCACGATGACTCCCCAATCACAGTTACTCATGCATGAAGATCACATCATAGTAACGAACGATAGAGCAACCTAAGTCCTCACCAGGGTAGAAGAAATGAACAAAACATGATGAATGAATCACTCACTCTCGACCAATGGGGTTAGGACCATTTGATGCAAAAGATGTGCATATTCACGCTCAATCCTAACGTCCCTTTACCATGATGGGTGTCGTTGCTAGCTTGTCCGGAGGTCTTAGACACAGGTTCAAATGACTGGCTAGGGTCTAGGACATGGGGAAAAGAATGTTTGGGTGGTGACACGTATTTCATGAGGTTCCACAACTTCAACCTAGAACCAAAGTATAAGGTTCTTAGCTTCGATCTAGAACCTTCCTCAACAAATAATGACCACTAACAATGGCCAAAAGCCACACTTCCCACACTTCCAAAACACAACCAATCACCAAACCAAGTCACATATACCTTCTTTCTACATTTGCTAGTCAATTTCAAGCACAAAGAAACACTTCTAAGAGCATGTTCAATATTTATTATATTTTTGGTGGCCACTCTCTTTTCGTCTTTTCCCTCTTATTGATCTCTTTTTTCTTTTTGTTTTTATTTTCTCTTTTCTTTGGGGCTATAGAGAGCTATAAACATGCAACATTTTTGAACTTAAGGATAAATGCTCACTTTAAAGACCTACCTCCACACTCACTTCACTTCTTAGCAAAACCATACACAAATCACTCATGTGGAACCTCGTTTAAGCTCAAATGGTATGAATGGAGCTTCCAAACACAAGGGTCACTCGATAACAGTGTAGACACGAAGAAAATATGGTCGTTCTATCTAAATCAATCAAGCTCAAGTAGCGTGAGCTACCTAACACGAGAATGACCCTTAGACACACAACTCAAAGGGGTTGACTAAGGATGATATGATCTGGTTGGTCAACATTTGGGTCGTGGACTAAACCTATGCCTCCATCTTCCTTGCTAGCAACAACGTGAATGCTACGCATCATGTAAAGGGGGATCCATCGCACAAGAATGAAATGAATGGCAAAAGTCTCACATGGCTACCTAGGTGCTAACCATTCGTTCTAATTCCCTAAACTCGATGCATAGGAAACTGTGAAAAGCAAGTAATCAATTCAAAACATCTATCGATTCTCAAACACATGAGAATTGAACCTATGCACAAACCTAATACATGTCTCAGTCATCATAATAGGTTGCACACCATCACAAGTAAATCATCCATAGATAATGCTAATAACCAAGAGATCCAAAAAAATCACCACAAGTGCCATTATGATCATGCAAATATAGAAGTTGTTAAGCTTAGAGTCCTCAAATTTTAAAAATTTGGGCATACAACTATGCTCTATGCATTCAAAATCACACCAAACATTCACACACACAAGCATAATGGACTACCCCACCACACTTAAGCTCGACATTGCCCTCAATGGCATAAAATAAGGGGATAGAATGATGTTACCGATCAAGTTGTGAATGTTTGTGCTCGGGAGCGGAGGGTGGGTAAGATCCGGAAGAGCGTGGTCACGTCCATAACACCACCAAAACCTCTTCAAATGGTCGTCTTATAGAAGCAAAATGAAAACAAACCGATGGAATGGTTGGGTTGCCTCCCACCAAGCGCTTCTTTAACATCGTGAGCCAGACGGTTGCTCCTCGAGTTTTGGTCCACCCTAGAACCTCATTGAAGTTGAGGTTCTCGTCGGCGAGGTGATGTCTCAAGTCACGAGCATTGGACGAGTCTATGATTGAGGGCTCGTGAACTTGAGTTGTCATGAGGCTCCACCAACGAGACCTCTCCTTCTTTCCTTCTCATTTTTTCTCTTTTCTCCATACCATGTAGTGCATCATCGATTTACCACCATCGCATCCACCAAGAGGGATTGCCGATGGTTTGGCCTTGGCTTGGAAAAGAGTTGCAAATGGGTCCTTCTCCAAAAGCGCATCGAGGTCGGGTGGAAAGATTTCATAGCGCTCGTAACTTTTGGATGCTTCATCCACCTCGA